AGTGTGTGTCTCCTGTGACCACGTGTGATGAGATCTCACTTTTAACCAGCCTGAGTTTACAGATGTGGGATTCATTTTGAGATATTTCAATAAATAATCTGTTTGCACCAAAACCTTCAGGGTCAACTAGAACAGTTCTTTGTGATATTTTGTCTAAATTCTCAAAGTTTAAAAGTTATTTATTGTAGAGACCCATTATTAGATTATAAAAATATATATATTTTAACCACAGTTTAAGCATCAAATGACTTTCATATGTGTTGAAGTTTAAATGTTGTGGTGGAGACATTATTTGTAAGAGGAAAATGTGAAATGTAATATTTAATCCATATTTAGTTTGTTTCATCACAACACCGCCCGCCTGCCAGTTGTGAGACAAACCTGTTTTGTTTAGAACCAGACTGGAGTCTGGTTTCTCACAGGAATCAGTAATCAAACTAATTAGATCTGATCTGCTGTCGTTAAACTTGAATCATCTCTAAAAGTCATTCAGTGAAACTAATTGCAGCAGTTTGCTGCCTCAGCAGAGTGTGAAGTGTAGAGTCCACGTATCTGTTACACAACACTGGCCCCGTGTGGAAGGGGTGAGCAGAGCAGCACGATCATGTACAGTCAAACTATATCATTTATTTATTGTTCATCAGTTTATCTTCTTCTTTTTTTTCCATAAATAACAATTCAGATGTGTTTGTATTTGATTTGGGGCATTTTGGGTACATACATAGCCTTATATTTGTTGTTATACATTTTTGTATATTATGTTGTATTGTTTTTTTGTACTTTAAATATAGAGCACATGTAAACAACATATTTATAGCTATATACAAAGCTGGTTAAATATAAGATAATCATTAATGAATGACTTATGGAGAAGGGCTGCGATTAAGTGTGAACTTCTTAGTCCATTTTGAATATGTAAATTCAATCATTAAGTGTTAATTGTTTCTGTTTTTTCATTCACTTTTTGTAGAATTTCTGTTTTTATTTACACACTCAAAATAAATACTAATTCATGAAGAAACATCAGATCTTATGAGTGAAAAACAAACAAATGCACTCGTCTGCAGATGGAGGTTATGTTAATCCTTTAATTGTCTCTAAAGAGCAAACCTGCTCTGTTTAAAACTACAACAAAAAACAATTACAGTTATCACCGACATGGCAAAAGTACATTATGTAACATAACTGAAATCACAGACCAGAGATCGATATGAAGCAATGAACCAGTTTAATACTCGTTCATCTTCTCCGTCGACTCATTTTCCGAGCGGCCATGTCCTCTCTGGCCTCAGACGACTCTCCCTCATAAAACATGTGGTCAAGACGAGCCCGGCAGCAGTGACGTGTTACTCCTACTAGGAGAAATTAAGCAAAAAATATCCCAGATATAATTGCTGACGTCTTGGAGCCAGGAAATTTGACCATCAATTAACATGGAGAAGGCAGCGTTTATGGCCTGTACTGCAGCCAGCCACTGGGGGGGGCCAAAAGACGCTTTGATTCCGTCCATAATATATTTTATATAGTGTAGATCTAATGTGAGATCTAAGGTAGAGAAAACCTGACACATGTCGCACATTCATTCACCCTCTACTGTGGAGCAACGGTTCAACGCAACTGAAGAAAACACACGCAAATACACAAAAGCCGACAAATGAACAATTCGACAACTCGCGCAGCGTTTATGGAAAAATGTGCAAAGTGAAAAAACACAACCAGACATAATAACCCTGCAAACAGCAGAGTTTTCCAGAGGACACGAAAAAGTGATGAACACAAGTGGAGACATGGTTGTTTTTGCCGTGGTGACTCATGAACTGAACTGAGGTCAACTATCCATCATCGGTTTCGGAAAATCAGCTCAAATTTCGATTATTTTCTCTAAATATTCAGATTTTATGATTCTTGCGGTCAACCCTGACTTCTTGGCTGTGTTTACTCATTTTTTTCCCCAAACACAACATATTTTGTAGATGCTGTAAATATGTTCTCAAATAGCTGAAGCTTATTTTCTTCAGTTTTTTGTGTTTTGCTCTATTAGCGTATTGTTTTCCTAAATTGCGGAGTGTATGAGCCGTCAGGGCCGCCCTTGAAACACAGCTTTTATTCTCACATAATGAGGAAAGAAATCTTGTGTCGAAAACAAACATTTTAACATCAGAGCTCTGTGGTGAAACAAACCAAACGCAGCTGTAGTGAGCAGCTCCACGTACAGCAGGAAAATATTAGATTAAAGAAAAAAAGCCTCATAAATCTTGTGTTGAATAGATTTGGTTGAAAAGCTTGAGGCTGCGGTTTCATAAAGGGCCGGCCTCTTCAAACAGAAGGTTCAGCAAAGTAATGTTTTCAGCATATGCTTCCATGGCCGATCGTCTGGTGACATATAAAAGATGAGTCGGTGGGAGACGGAGGGAGATTTTGTCATGTCAGACTGTGGAGGGGTTGTTTCCTGGAGGGGAGCACCCAGCAGTAAAAGTCAAAGTATCATTAGAAACCATTGATTCATTCCTATTTTTTTTAACAAAGCAAAATAATTCTTGGCTTCTTCATTCCATCAACTCACAACCTTGTTGAAATTTTATTTAGAAACATCATTTTAGTCTTTATACACCACAGGGGAATTGCAGACATATAACTGTGCAAATGAAACATGATTTAAATTAATTTCATGTCACAAATGTTTAATTCTCCATGTTTCAGTATGAGTGTGATGGCTTGTATTATGTTTAACATAACTCTATTTTGGGTTTTGTTGGGTTTTGCATTGATTCACTTTAAATCAGACGTATAATATCATCCCAAATTTGCAATGAATCTTTTCAACATGTGTACATCCTTTTAAAAAAATGTGGAGATTTCATCTATGTCATATGTTAGAAATATAAATCCTTCATATATCCAGAGATTATGTGATAAAAATCCATCTATCCAATGTTTCCTGTATCCTGTTAGAGTCACAGGGGGCTGAGCAGATCCCTGTGATCATAATATATCTTCTTATATGTGACATAGCATCACTCTTGATACAGTGGCTTGTTTTTGATAGTGTTTTAAACTTCTTCACTTTCTTTTACACAAAATAACAGGAGTATATATTTCAGAAGAATTTCTTTGGTGGTGAATTTGACTTGACTCACTCATTTTCTACAGTTTGTTTTCAGATTAATTTGTGTGATTATAGCTTTTAACACGATTATTTACTTAGTCTGTCATTTCTGTTTGAGTAAGAGTCAGGGAAACCAAACTATATTTGAATGCCAAGTTTTTCACTTTCTTTCACTATTTAACTTCATGAAGAAAAATATGACGAAATACTTTAAAATAAGCACCAAACTTCATTGCATCTTTCTTTTGCATCTGCTTTGGCCTGTTCAAACATTTCTGTAAGTCGATTCATTCTCTCTCGAAATCAGTTGTAGAAATAAACTCTTGACTTAACTTTCTAACTGATGTTCCTAAATTGGACCAAGTACTTCAGAACTCTTGGAAAACACAATGTTGGACATGTTTATTGAAGAGTTACGGCCTCCGTTAGGGAATTGACACATTTTGGCCTCAAGCCTTCATGAAGTGAAGAACACCATGGAGAAAATTCTGCTATTTTACTGTTGTGTCTTTGTTTGGTGGTTGTGTAGTTGTTTTTTTATGCTGTGCACTTTGTTTGTGTGTAAGTGTAGGACGTTGTGTGCATAGAAAAACATGTTGGTTTGTGGGGCATGTAAGGACACATGGTTTACCTCCTCTATCAAACCTTTATATTTGTTGTTTAATTTCACAACATCAATCTCGGCTCAGTGTCAGACTTAATAAATGTGAATCAACAGTTCATTCAAACACTCGCTATCAAATAACTATTTAGAAAAGTTGTCCAGTTCTGCTTCCTACAAATCAGAACCATCTCCAAAGTGATTAACAGACTAGTCTTCTCCAGACTGTGACTCATCACTCTCCTGTCTCCAACACAGCAGCTTCTCACTGTTTTTTTAAAGACAACATCGGCCCTCCCTTCTTTGGCTCCCTGTCCATTTTAGAATTGATTTTAAGATTTTACTGATCTCTTTTAAAGGATCCTACCCCAAGCTACTTCACAGAACTGCTGACCCCTTATGTGGCCTCAGATCCTCAGGTGGATCCAGCTGCTCCAAAGTCCAGATTGAAAACAGATTGTCAGTTCTTTTAAATCACTTCTCAAAACCCTTTTTTTTTAGACTTGCTTTTTTCCCACCTTTTATTCTACTTATTTATTTATTCGTATTGTCATATTACTGCTTTTGTGGGTTTTTTCATATATTTATTAATTTAATTTGAACACTACCCTGTTGTCTGGTCTCTTTGTCACATCGCAACCTGTCCAGTGTGTAAGATTTAGGTGAAAGGGAACTATTGGCAGAAATTTAATGTAGAATAATTCTCATGACGTTTTCACTTGTTCATTTGATCTAAATTGTATGAATTGTAGTTTTCTTTACCCCAGTAAAGACCCTTTATATTCAAATACTTTATGTTTACATGGAGGGGACCCTCTCTACGGAGGCCGCCATGTTTTTTACATTAGTCCAGACTGAACAAACTAAACACCTTTTGAGTTTTTATGACAATTAAAGATACCACAGGTTCTTTTTCATGTTTGGAAGGAGAGGGTGAGGTGAGGGGTGTTCAGCTGCAACATGACACTTCAACACTAGATATCACTGAATTCTGCACACTGTACCTTTAAAACAACTCTGTTTTTAAAAAGTGCAACATAAATGAAGTTTATTATTATTACTATTACAATGCATGAGCCTTTACATGAATGTCACATTAAACCGACGTTGTTCTAAAAGTATGATCCAGTTTCATGTTCGCCACCTTTAACCTCATTCAGTCAAACAGAAAAAAGAAAATAACACATGACGCCGAACGATACAGGAAGAACCCACAACAAGATTGATGTATCTTTCAACCAGTAGAAAAGCAGCATTTCCACGCAAAGCCCGCCTTCGTGAAAAATCAACCAATCCTGGGCCGGGATCGGAACTTCCGCCCCGGACACGGAGCGTGTCCCATTGTACGAGCTGCTCTCGAACCCGCGGTTGTTGCGGCGCAGCCAGTTTAAATGCGTGATTCCTCTAAAGTTGTTTCGCGTCGTTGTCGCCGGTTTAGCGCGTGAGAGTCGGTGTCACACGCGAACCTCACCGAGGAAGCACCGTGTTGTCAGCGGGACACACAGCGGCGGGTCTCCCCCCGGAGGAATTAGTTCGTTAGCGGCGTCGCAGCCACCTTGCGGTCCCGCTAGCACCGGAGCTAGCTAACGTTAGCGGCGGCTGTTTGTTTTTTTTTGTTTGTTTGGTTTTTTTTGCAGCGTGAATCTGACGGAGATCCGCGGGGAAACATGCCTTTAACCGGTAACGGTTGTGTTTCCGAGTAAGTCACCGGAGCTTGGATAAAACACCGGGAGCAGCTCGGCGCTCGAATCGAAGCCGTTCGCCGAGCTAGCTTTGTTAGCTAACATCACCGGATTGTCTTTCACAAAGGGGGAAAGAGCGTGAACGGGAGCCGTGGGTCGTCAACCACGCCGGCTGTCTAACCGACCTCACCCGGGCTGTCGCAGCGAGAGAGAGGGAGCACTTGACCCGGTACAGGATGAACGGGTTCAGCACGGAGGAGGACAGCCATGACGGACCGCCCGCACCGCCGTTCTACGGGCAGAGCTGCTGCCTGATCGAGGACGGGGAGCGCTGCGGCCGCTCCGCTGGAAACGCCTCCTTCAGCAAGAGGATCCAGAAGAGTATATCCCAGAAGAAGCTCAAGCTGGACATCGACAAGAGTGTGAGTCTGTTTACCACAGTTTTCATTCTAAAGTTTAATCCGGGGCTAGCTTGTAGCTGGAAGTTAAGGTTAGCATGTTCATGGGGTGTGGGGGGGGGGGGGCCGTTGAGACGCTCCAGCTGTCAGCTAATGCTAGTTAGCATGTTCGCAAACGCGAGGTCAACACCGGGACACGTTCGCAGCTTTCCCCGGCTGCTGGTGACGTGAGGGCGATTCTCTGCGGCCAAAGCTAATCTGCCAAACTGTTGTTTGAATGTCGGGTTAGCGTTAGCCGTGTTAGCTGCTCGCGGGACAGCTCCGGATCAACCCGGAGCTTTAACTGCGACGAGCCCCCGCTGCTCCTCTTAAAATGGCTGTTGTCAGGGAAGCTTTCGGGGTTGAGTGACTCCAGCTCGGTCACAGCGGATTAAAGTTGCTCTAAACTCGGCCCGGAGCTAACTAGTACAATACTATGTCTTTCACTCGACTCTCACGTGTTTTCCATTATACTCTGCTTTGACGCAGAAGACTTACAGCACGGTGGCCTTCTTACAATGTGAAACTAAAACACTCTGAAACTAAGCCTCAGACTTTGTTAATCTTTTTGTTTGTGAACTTTTCACACACTCCTGGAAATCGATTCGTTCTGTCTCCAAGTCAGTAGTAGAAATAAGATTCAATATCAACTCTTGCCTTAACTTTCTAAATGATGTGCCAACATATGTCACACTTCTACTGCAAAACTCCATTATTCTCTTGTTTGAAGAAATCGTTCAAAGATGATCAGGAAGGGAATTGACAGTAGGACAGGGAATTAAGCTGTTTACCACCATCACCATTAGGTCTTTGCATGGTGGTTTTGTTTTGTTTTTTTATACTTCCCTAAACTTTTTTTTAAACTAGACAATTCATCAAGCAGGCAGGTGTACCAGGGCCTGAGACCCTCAGGAGCCCCAGAGTCCACCACCTTCCCCCAGTTAAATATAGACAATTGTGTTTATTGCAAAGTGATTTAGGAATATGCACCACTGAAATAATATATACTCTGATTGCAGCAAGGTGTTAACTTGTGTATTATTGTCTCAATTACGGAGATCTGACATGCCTGAATAATTTTCAGCTGTGAAACCTGAACTGTGCTAAAACTACAAAGATGAAATGTAATTAAAAGCAAAACACCATAAATAATCAATTCATTTATAAAACAGTTAAATACCACGAGGAATAATCTTTTGCTTCTGCTCATGGGCAGTTTGATCCCTGTGTGAGGCTTCAATGAGTAGCTGGGAGTTGATAAACATTATTAAACATCTGGACAGCAGGGTCTAGCACATTTTACACATTAAATGTGCTCAAAACTTTTTATCATTGAATAAAAAAAAAACATCTGGAATGCACACCACTGTATAAACACTTGGAACATGCACCAGTCAAACAAAATATTTGAAGGTTACATCAACATATTAGCCTGCGGATTATTGTCTCAAACATTTTGTTTATGTGGAAAGAAGGTAATTAACGTTGTCCACCGAGATTTTGCGTCACAGTCAAAAACCAAAACAGATCAACTTACACTGTTTATACAACAGAAATCTACATCCGCACAACTGGATCTAGTAGATTTCATGCTTAAAATATGTTTACAACTGTGAATTGGTTACGGAAAAACTATAATAAACGTAACATCTTCCTTGCCCCCTTCATAAAAGACACAAGACATCAGTGAATACAAGCATGAATGTGTTGTGGCTGCAGTAACCCGCCCTCTTAATCCTCATTGTATTCAGAGGGGTTTACGCTTTAGTTCCTGGATAGCACCATGTTGAGTAACTCAGTGCAGCCTGAGAAAGAAGGAGCTGCTGCTGCTGCTCCTCCTCTTGTTCTTCCTGTGATTTTTTGTTTTCCAAGCACACTGGGACTCATGCAAAAAGTCACAGTCGAGAGTGTGGCCCAGTGGAATGACATGCACGCGAGTTCACTGCAGGACAGACATGTATTTTAGGCGGTTCAGCTGAGGCAGCAAGCACAAGATGGCACACTTTAATTATTACCTAGAAAAGCCTGTGGTCAGGGCTGAGAGTCAAAACCTTTTTATTTTACAAGCAAAATCTACAGTCACTTGTGCAAAGACAAAATCAAACACTGTTAAACACTGCTGGGGAAAAAATAGCGTAATAGCACCGAACCTCAGGTGGTGTGTCGACAACTGTTTTGAATAATTTGTTATCCTGGGACTAGTTGGCCTTGTGTCCTATAAGGTTTCGTCCATGGACTACTTTAATGCCTGCTATTTCCTCTATAGGTGCGACACCTCTACATCTGTGATTTTCATAAGAACTTCATCCAGAGCGTCCGCAACAAGAGGAAGAGGAAGACCAGTGACGATGGAGGGGAATCTCCCGATCATGATGTGGAGGTGCCTGAGGTAATGTGGACGCAAGTGTTACCCACAATGTCTAAAACATTGAAGTCGTATTTGATTGTAGAGCAAGAAGGACCTGTAATTGTTTTGTAGAGCAAAGGAAGAGAACACAATGACAGAGGATACTCGTATATTCATCCTGTGTTTAGTTTTCCTTCTTTTGTTTCCAGTGTTGATTGTTACTATGATAATTCCTCCACAGACATCATAAAAAAGTCATCACGGCAAAAGAAGCTGGGCGCGTTTAGTAAATCTGTCAAACGTGTGAATCAAAGATGGAGGCGGGATAACATTTTATCATATCTCCAAACCGAGCAACTGACAACTTCCCTGCTTGTGTCGTGTGTTCAGGTCGACCTTTTCCAGCTGCAGGTGAACACGTTGAGACGCTACAAGCGACACTACAAGCTGCAGACCAGACCTGGACTCAACAAGGCCCAGCTGGCAGAGGTAAGAGACCCTGTTACCTGAAAGTGTCAGTTCACCACCTACTGTAACGTCCATTCTATATTAACCATGAAACCAAATCATACCGAGGAGGGGGTAAAAAGATTTCCCCTAGCTTTCATTAGCACCTGCTCCCAGTGATGGAACCACAGTTCCTGCAAAGGTTCATAGTTGAGAAACCTGATAATGTTAACGTGTATTTTGCTCAGAGCAAACTGGCTCAAACATGGGTTTTAAAGATAAGACAGAGGAAGAGAATCGTACTTTTTGTGTTTGAATGCTTTCAGCTGTTGTTCAGACATTTGCTGCATGACCCGGTGTTTGAATCCTTTCACTTGTACTACAGCAACCATTGAGCTTAAGGCATTTTGTTGTTGCGGTGACTCGACTTTGAGGTAGCTGCTAGCTTACTGTGGGCTAGAGTTACATGCTGCCAGAGCCAAGTTGATCGTGACGTTTGTGTAGCATGACAGCTATTTCAGTACAGGCAACAAAATGCTGTAGAGAAACTCTCAAACCTAGGCGCGACTTAAAAATGTCAAGAACTGATTTACAACACCACTATTAGTTTATCTTTCTAAAAACTCAACACAAACCCTCCTGGAGTTACACAAACTTAACTTCACAACTTTGAAGCAGCGTCCTGCGAGGAAGCTATGAGTTGAAATAATCATGCAGGTAGTTAATTTTGTCTGACGTTGAACGCCGCCGAGCCGCCTTCATGAGGTGTTACCACCATCTTTCTTCTTGACCCTTGCCTCCATGTCACTCATTTGCTGTGATATACGTCGTGTTGCAGCTCGTAGTCAGCAGTAATTGGTTGTGGAGAGATTGTTAGTCTGAATTGCTGAACTGACAGGTGGACCTCTAGCAGCTGGCTCAGCCCTTGTCCGTACAAATACGTCCAGTATATAGCACCCTCGGTCCACCTGGGGGGGAGGAGGTCGGATGTGACCAGGCTGTAGAGTTAACAATCGGAATGAATGAAACTGTAAGTTGAACGTTTCCCTCGGCTTTAACTCAGGTTCAGGCCCCTCCATTCATGAGCCTCCCACATCATTAATAAAGCAGCAGTCAACAGCTCCACAAGCAGCTGCAGCTGCCCCCGACTTCAGCTCCGCTCAGGAGAACCAGTGGCTGCGGTGAGCAAGAGGCTGCACACAGGATGTTTGTTTTCTTCTCCTTCTGCTGCTATATAAATCCAAACAGCTATTACTCACTTCAGTTAAATGTCTTTAGTTCCTGAGGATGAATATCTAAACTATTAAGTTTACTTTTATCACCAGTTTCATGCAAATCAACCAATTATTGATCAAAATCTTTGCACTTCAGCATCGTTCCCACAGGACGATGCTTCTTATGAACAGTAAAGTCCAAATGTTTGAGTGTTGTTCTAGGAATCAGTTTCTCTCACACACATGTACAGTCTGGTTTTATTGACTGGACTCCAGGTCTAACTCTTATCTCCACTTGGCTTTGGTTGAAGTCATTAGTCTTGGGGTTCTCTTCCTTTTATAACGTAAACTGTGAAAGTTGAATGTGTCCATGGTGGCCAAGAGCAACACAACGAATGTGTTTGAAATAGATTGTTCATGATTATAAATTAGATAAAGATCGCAACATTTTACATGATTATAAACGTAAATGGAGATTTGTCCGTCACCGATCAGTGTGAAACATTTACTGATCCAGTGCTTGGCCGATTATTGTCAATAAATTCATTGTGTCTGGATCATAAGACATAATAAGCGCTCTGAGGACACTGTGCTGTTTCCTTGTGGCTTGGCCAGGACCCTGTTTTCCCAGTAATGGTCGTTGGTTTTTAAATTTTGTCATGAACATTTCTATAAACACCCTTAAATTTAAAGAACAATATTTCATCTTTGTGATGTGGTCTTTGATACATAGCAGAGCCTTTCACTTTTTCTCTTAAAGAAAAGAAGGATCGTTATTGGAAATCATGGCTGTGTGTGTGTGTGTGTGGCTCTGGTCGCAATTGTTTGTTTGAACCCGACCTGAGTCCAGTGTTTTCCACAATTACAGGCATATGCAGAATAAAAAAAACAAGTAGAAAGATGCCCCAGTCAACATGACCAAACCAGACCCAAATATAGTTTTTTTTTGTCTGAACCTGGCCTGAATTGTCGGGTCCAGATGGGCTTTGGTTTAGTTCCCACACTATGAACACCAGACAAACCATGAAAACAATTACTATGATAAACAACAAGCTTTTATTTTAACTTTTGCTTTCCCTTCCTCTGCAGACGGTGAGTCGTCACTTCAGGAATATCCCTGTGAACGAGAAGGAGACGCTGACGTACTTCATTTACATGGTGAAGAGCAGCAAGAGCCGCTTGGACCAGAAAGGAGACGGCGGCAAACCGTTGGACTAAAGCTTCCCGACAACAACCGCAGCAATCGCCACGACAGACATCGACAGTGATCTATAACCATGGTGACAAACAAGCATTAGCAAAGCTGGACACCACTAACTACAGCAACCACCGCTATGACCAACTCCTCCCACAATCCTGCAGCCAACTCGTCCTTCAGACCAGACAGTGACTCTCTCTGTCCTCAAAGGACATCTCACAGAGAAGGAGGCTGAAAAGTTCAGGATGGGACGAGTTCGCTTTCGCTATTTTCTCCCTTTTTTCAAATACACCCTGTCTGTGCACATGTTGTCACAACGGTCTCCTCTCTCCTCCGCAAAAAGCCGGGTCCCTAAAGACTGTCGAGGACCAGGACTCCGCGTCACCGCAGGGTTTTTACGTTGTCACGCTGTAATGTAACTTGTCGATATGTACAAAAGGAATCACGTCCGATCTGAAGTAACCTGGTTGAATGCAATGTACAATATTAGCTGCCTTAAGTGTAAAAAGCAAAAACACATTTTGGTAATTTTTCTTTTCTTCTCTTTGCCGAGTTGACTGTTAAACACGTTCACCATCCACAAGAACGTGCTTGTGCCAAACAGAGACCGAAAGAAGAGTGTTGGTGATGAATGATGCTGAGTGGGAGGTTTTCGTTTTTTAATGTGAAAGAACAAATGAATTGTAGGAAAGCGGTGTCGCCTTCACTGAATTCCCGTTCAGCTGTCGAGGGCTCGGGGTCACAAAACTGGCAAAGTCTTTTCGCACTCATCTCTAAAATGATGACGTCGCCATTTTCCAACCGAACGTGATGCATTTAAAGACTGTGGTGAATGATGTAGCATTTGGCTGCGACCCACTCGTCTCCTTCATCGTATAAACACACATGAGGATTTATTTCTTTGTGCATTGCAGGCGTCGGTAGCTACTTCCTTTTTAAAAAAAATATATATATATAATAGTTATTTCCTCTTTAGTTGAGCCTTAATTCTATTGGTTGTATAAAGTTGTTTCTTGGAGATATGATTTAGTTTTCTTTGGTTTTGTTTTTTTGTGTGCGTTTGTGTGTGTGTACTTGTACTTCTGTGTTTGTGAGGACTATTTCACAGATGGAGAGAGGACATTTTGGCCGGTCCTCATGAATTGAAAGGGCTGTTGGATTGTTTGATATTATAGGGTGATGTTTGGGGTTAGGCGTTTATTTGTGATAGTTAAAGTGAAGTGTGGGGGGCTCGAGTGTTTTATGTCAACAAGTGTCCTCAGAAAAGATAGAAGTACAAGTATGTGAGTGTGTGTGTGTGAAGCAGGGGAAGGTTGAAAGAGTAAATATTGGCACCTTTTTAATATTTAAGTGTTTATAGTGGACGGCGTCTCAACTCTTGATTTGAAGCTTTTTTCGAACCTGGATGTATTTCAAGAAGCCGGATTGATGACTGTAGATTGTTCTTTTTGTTTTCCTTCCCATATTTAGAATGTCACTCAGCAGAGCTCATTCCTCCGCCAAGACCCAACAGTCACTTAAATTCACTTATGTTACTCAGACTCGTTGATATTAATCCTCTAAATATGTCTGATTTTGGCGAAGTGGTGATAATTTAAAACAAACAATTCCAATTCCTGGATCTGTCCTCTTGTCCAGATGCACACCAACATTGAATGGCTTCTTTCTTGACCCGTGTCCCAACCTTCCTCTGAGTTTTGTGGAAGTCTGTCCTGTCGTTTTAGCGTAATCCTGCTGACAAACAAACGGACAGGGGAGACAACTGGATTTGTGTTTCTACTTTATGACTCTCGACTCCTTAAAGGTTTTACATTTGTACGTAAACAGTGACTCTGCTAGTTTTGGCTGCAACTAATGATTATTTCTCCTTATTTCTTTTTAAGTAATCTATCACTGTTCTAGTTTGTGCAGTGTATAAAATGCTCTGCAAAGCTGAAAATCACATCTCTGTTGAACTTCGCCATCAGCTGTTGGATTGGGCCTTTTTATTTTTCCGTAAACCACAGGCAGTGATGAGAAATGACCAGTAGGTGGCCTCCTGTGACCCCTGTTAACGTTAAACATGATGAATTTGACACGCTTATTTAAGTCCTCCGTGTTGTGCTGACGTCCGACTTCTGTTTGTCCTTCATCTTAAAACGCTCGTCCTCTTTAACTGCCTTTCTTTTTAAATCATAGTGGCTACATTGACATGAGCGTACACACTGTTTGACCTTTTTTTTTTTTTTTATTC